ACAAATGGCATCACTTGCACCACTTGTGGGGGAGGCTCCCTGCCTGGCACAGTACTCTGAATTTGTGGCAGTAGGTGCATCCATGCCACACAGTTAGCCTCTTCTTCCTATCCGTGCTCTCTGCTCTGTTTCCCTTGGCTACTTCTTCAGCTTTACATCTTCCAGACATGGTCAATTTGCCAGTTGGTGTTTGAAGATCTGTAAACAGTAACATACTGGTTTAGTCTTCAGAGCTTGTGAATGTCTCCTCTGCTACTTCGGATGGCATATGCTTATTTTGCCTGTTTTGCAAATGAACAAATAATATTTGAATTATTAAATGGATTTCTAAAAATGTATTTTTTGTCTCCATTTTTTTTATTTTTCAGAAGCAAGTTATTTTTGTATTGGGTATAGATTTTGTTTCTCCTCAGCACACAACACTTGGTAATAATTTATAAATTATTAAAAAAAATTGGCAGGAATAGAATACTGTGAAGAAATAGCTGGGAGCCTTCTGTACAATTCTTCTAGACGTGTCATGCTTTCATTTAAAAAATGAAATTTAATGTCTGGTATTTTAACCTGTGAAGACCTACACTTTGAAAGTGGTAAAGATAAATTTGGAAGTTATAGGATACTAGAAGATATTAACAAGTCAATACTGGTAGTTTTTAGGTCCCGTCATATAAAACATTTCAGACTAAAAACTAGTCACAGTTTTTGTCTCAGTATTTGAGATGGCTATATGTTTTCCAAATACATTGAGAAAATCTGTGCAATTTTTATTTGCCTGTCATCACCCTGAAATATGAGTTCCAGAATTCTGTTTTTTAATCAATTAAATCATATTAATTAAAAACTGCAACAACAAAACCTAGCATCACAGCCAAAAAAAATCATTGAAACCACAAGAAGGGGAGGGAATTTTCATGTGATGGTGTCTCATAGAGGAACAGATTAGAGCTTCCTGAGTGGGCTACTTTATATAACTGTCAGAGTAAAATATGACTAAAGCTACGAAAAATATCAGGGCATTAGCCTTTTTAATGGAACAAAATGGCAATGTAAAATGTCTTTTTTTCTGTCTCAGAGAGATGTCAAGTCACTTTAAAGCAGAATAGGTCAGCCTCGGAAAACGCATATTGGTAATTTTTCACTGGATACATTTGCGTGCTGAAATTATATTCAAAATACACAACGTGTTTTGTGCCAAGAAAGTGACTCCACAGTATGACCATCTGCAAAGTAGAAAATACTCTTGGACAGATTTGGAACTCAGCATGTTGTCCCTACTGCAGACAGCGCAGTAGCTAATTTTACAAGAGATCAAGGTAACTCTTCACTGGTATTTATCTGAGCCCAGCTAATGAAACAGCATGGGTCTTAGAAAGGTGTAACGTGCATTGTGTCGAATAATTTTCTTATTGGAAAGGAAGTGAATCTAGTCACTTCCAACTTTTCCAGACTCTGTGTAACTGTTTAGCCATGTAGATACGTCAAGAACTTTTTCTTTTGCCTTGCTTAGACAAGTGTTTGCGCGCACGAGTCGGGAAGCAGCACTCCCAACTGGGCAGCAATATCTGTTTCTGGGCTTGATTTGTGGCTCAGGTGTTTGTGCTGAAGAGGCATCTGCAAATTTCATTTGCTGCAAAAAAAGCTTACGTCTGCCTTGTGCTGCCTGGCAATGCAAGCCGGAAAGAAGTCTTTAGGATGTCTTTTCCACATCACTAGGCTATCTGTGTAAAGACTTCCCCCCAAAATGTTCTAGAATATTCTGAACAGAGAGATCCAGGAACCTTCCCCTGGAAAAGTGTGTATCAGCGCGGTGGCAGATATTCGGCTGTCCTTTTTCTTCCCATTTTCATCAAACACTTCTTTAAGACTCCCTAACTCCCAGGTGAGAAAAGTACTGTGTCTTTTGTTCCAGATACATAAAGAGTTGCTGCCAGGCCACTCTGACCTCGGCTAGGCAGAATTGCTCTATGAATATCTTTTCTGAAGTTCCTAGGTTTTTCACCAAAAGTATTGTTAACTTAGACCCTGCAGTTGCTTCAGTACATTTAGTATTCACTGAATTTTGAAAACCAAAGTTAAAAGAATTGTCAAATTCAAGTTCAGATGTCCTGCCTGATCTGACCTGTCTCTCAATGAGCTGTCAGCTTCCTCTGGTCCTTCCCCCCATTTCCAGTCTTCCAGCAGACTTTGGGAACTCCGAGTTTGGTAAAATCGAGGTGATTTACTAAAAGGAAGACAGATAGTTGGAAAATCTATAGTGCTTTGTGACTGAGTGAGAGGATGTACATCTTAGCTTTTCATCTGCTTCGTGCTTTTCCGGCTCTGCTGAGGCCAGGTGCGTGAATGGGAACCAAGGCTGCCTCGGCAACCCTCAGCCCTGGGCTTCAGCCTCTTCAGCTGGAGCAGCTCCTCTCCTACACTTGAGTGGCGGTTTTGATCAACAAGGTCCTTGAGTCAGATGGGTCTATTGAGCAACGTGCTTTATGTCTGATTATCAGGAGCTGGCAGGCGAAGAGGCAGTGGCAAGACCACTACAAATCCCAGCCCTGCACCAGGAAAATAACGAGTTTGTGAATGTTTTTGTTTGTTTGTTTGTTTTGTTTGTTTGTTTTTGAAATTCCCTTTTCTTCCTATCCGCTCCATACTGCTGCCAGAAAGAGAAGATGGTAGAGGCAAATAGGAAGAGAAAGGAAGTTACAGTCAAATTTATTGCTCAAGCACAGTTCATCTCTCTGAAACATAAATCCTTTTTGTGAGAGGCAAAACCTACGAGGGATCTCAATGCACTAATCAGACCGGTGGAGGAGACAAAGAGGATGAAGCGCTGGTGGTGCCTCTGTGTCGGCAGCTTGGCCAAAATGCCTGGGAAGTTCAGACACATGAGAGGTGTGGGTCTGAAAGACAGCAGTGAGCTAGGGGCTGCCACAGGCCTGGACTTCCCACCCCGTTGCCTGCAAATGCTTTGGTTCGGTGCAAGAAAGAGATGGGAAACCATAAGTTTTAGCTGTGTGGCAAGGCTGAAGGGATGGCTCTGCATAACATAATGTCTGTTCACTTTTCCTGAGTCAAAGAAAAGCATTTTTGGTGGAGAAGAAAAATATTGCTTTTTCCTGATTACTGTTTCAGGAGTAACTTGTGTCTCAGTATCAGTGTGTGTGACGCTTGCTGTGTTGTATTTCTAAGATGCATCAGGGCTGCTCTTTTAAAGCAACCGATTTTTACTTTCTCTGTAAGAAAAATTAGTCGCTACTTTAACTAAAACACTTGTTTGGAGTCAAAGAAGCATTGTGGTAAATGTGGGAACTAAATACAAGCACTGAGCTGTGAAAAGGAGTGCAGTTGTGGCTGTAATGGTCTGAGGGCATATGTGAGGCACCATTTGTATGAGAGGCAATTTTATTAGATGAGCAGATGTAGTTGGGGGAAAAAAAAAAAAGAAAAAGATGAGCTGTGGAACAAACAAGTTCTTCTCTGGACCTGGAGAAAGGATCATGTGCCTGAAAGCTTTTTTGACTGTCCCTTGCTATAAATCTCACACTTCTTCAGAATGACAAGACTTTAAACCTGCTGCAAGGCCTGTACCACCTCCACAAGCACCCACCACTCTTGCAGGTGATTTGAACTTTGGATTGGGCCCTAGCTGCAAGCACCTGGTGCATAACTGTGTAGTGATTACTGATTGCAACTGGATAAATCTGTGACACTTGCTGAGCCATTACATGTTGAATGCTGATACGTATATGACATTTGTCTCCTGACGTACTTGTTGATCTTGTGCGTTCACCTAATGCATAGTTGAAATATCGTCCTGCACATGGTATAAAATTAAAATTATATTTTTATCAAGGCTTTGATTATTCTGACAATCGTGTAGCTTGTAGTTCATTGTCTCCCATTCTGTATTCTTTTTTTTTGCATAAAATACATGTTATTTGCATGAGTTTAGGTCTAAATATAACATGCTGTTAATCTCAATCCATATTTAAAACAGTTAAACAAATTTTTGAATCACTTTTACTTGTCCCTGTGCAACCGTTCTGTCTTACATTATCAACAGGACAGGTCTACTACAGTTTTGTAGCTAATGGTCATAGGAAGGTCTCTGCGTGCATGGGAACAAATTCTAAATACTGACTAGATTGAATATTCACATAATAAGTTGTAAAATACTGAAAGGGACTGTAAGATTTGTTTGTAGCAGTATGATTTCAAGAGTTTTTGTAGTGTGTAGTTACTATTCTATGAGAGAGTACAAATTCAAATTAATTTTCAACGTGTGTTTCTTTCATTCAACCTGAGTGTGATGGGAAGACTGAAGCCATATGAGAAAACTGAAGCAAAATGTTGAAGGCATTAATTTTGCTTACAATGTAAAAATAGGGCCATAAATAAATTATTCAGGTCGTATTGAACAAATATAAATTAAAATTTTGTACATCGTATGTATTATATGCAACATGCATAATACCAGGAATATTTGAGGGTTCTGACACTATCTAAAGCCAAGTGATTTTGCTCTGACTGGAAAAATGCATAGTATAATTGTCAGAAAAATGATAGTTGCTACCTCTTACATTACAAGAAAGGTTTTAAAGAAAAAGTTGTAAACCAATGTTGATTAAAGACATGTTTTATGATCAAATTCCTCGTGGCTTAATAAGGTACAAAAATGAGACTTGGAAGTAGGTATTAAGACAAATATTCTAATTTATGGTGAGAAAAGGTATTTTTAACAGCACAAGAAAACATTTTTATCCTTTGTAATTCTCAAGATGCTCTGCCTTACACTAGCATTGACTCTTTGCTGTCTTCTGTTTCACACTGAAGTAATCTAAATTTGAATGGCACCTGTTTCAGCCTTGAGAAGAGAGCTAACTGACCGGCTAACTATCCTCACTTGTGAACAGAAATACGGTCTGGAGCTGCTCTCTCCCAGTGCATTTCAAGTATAATGAAAAAATCTACACATTCATTTGCCATAAAGCTTTTTTCTGTCTCTTCAGGGAAGCAATCAGTCGTGTTTGTGAAGCCGTGCCTGGTGCCAAAGGAGCCTTCAAGAAACGAAAGGTATTTTGCTTTTCTCCTAGTGCAGTTGACTGTGTTTTCTTAGTTCAACACAAGAGGAGAGGAGGCACAGCAGGCAGGTGACTTTAAAGCAGCTTTGAGAATTGCAGATCATTAATCATTTAAAGTATTGGCTGTTTTCCCCCACTGTATGTTGCCTCTTGCCCTTTGGTCAAGATCTGCTTTTGTAGGCATCTAGAAGTATGAGTATGTCTAGGAAAAAGATTGTGGCTTGTCTTTATATTCCTACGATAGAAAACCCCTTTTCTTTCTTTTGTAGATTGCAGGTGAAAGGCTTAGAACAAACAAAAAGGGATGCCTTTTCATAAAATGCATGAGAAAATTGTGGAAATAGGTGCTGGAAGCTATTGCAGAGGCCAAAAACATACATAGTTTTGAAAGTGATTAGATATGTTCTTGGAGCATAGCTCTACTGGTGACAGTTAATGAGTCTGGAAATCACTGATTTCTAGAAATGGAGAGAACATACCAGGTGATCCTCTGTTCCCTCTGCTCTTTCCTTTAACCCGTGGATGATGCTCAGTGGCCAGCACTGTGGACAGGTCCAGTGGGCATTGGCCTGACATGATTATTACCATGTTTTTATTCTTATTTGTGTGGTAGGAGTTAGGCTCTTCAGGCAAGGAGTGGAGGAGGCTTTGGCTTGGCTCATGCACTGCCTGCTCTTCCAGGGGCCTGTTAGCAAAGCCGGAATTTAATGCTAACTCTAAGGCAAGGAGCATAGAAAGCAATTAATTATAGCCCTTCTGTGTGTCATTGAGCACAGGAGAACAGGCAGGTGAAGGACAAGGTCTATCTGCTTCCCCAGCTGCTTGGCCGTCTAGGCAGAATCCCAGCAGAAAGGGATGGGCTGAAATGCCACGTTTGCAATGGAGTATCTTCCCCTTGTAAATAAGGTGTACGTGGCAACGTATGTCACAGCGTAATTGGAAATTGTCTCAGAAATTAAGGTTGTGGTTACTTCCTGCCACAAAATTTATCACATTGGCATTTCCAGGTTCTCTGGCTTTTCTTTTTAAACATGCAAGTAAAGAGGAAAATATCTTTTTCCTTGGAAAGGAAAATGATGCAAAATATCATTAGAAAAGTAGGTTAAACAGAGTCCCAAGTGCCTAGTGAGACACCTTGCTGTATTACTGGTTCTAGAAGCAATGTTGCTTATCAGTTATTGAAAAGACCTAGTGTTTTTAAAGTAAGTCTACTGGCTGAGAAGAAAATCTGCCCAGCAACAGAATTTCAGATAAATGTTGAAGACAGGTATCTTTTGCCAGTCTGTACTTTCATCATGCTTTTGCCACTAGTGGCTTACGAATTTAGTTAAGGTGACACGTACTTCTTGAGGCCAAGTTTTCACACTTTACCCACACTGTGGGCAGGTGATCCTTAGGCATGAGCTGGGAATCATGAGGGTTTAAGGAAAGAAAAGAAACAAGAATGTTCAAAAGAGCTTGTTTTAAAGAGAAGTTAATGAAATGCTAGCTCTGTAAGATGACAAAATAGGCAGCACGAATGTTATCTGTGATCAATATGTAGGTAGTGTATTTTTAATCAATTAAACAGAAGGGAATGAAGCAAAAACTGAATACATATACTGCTTTAAGGGGTAAAGAAGCACAAGTGTGTCCATCCTGTTAGGGACAAAACTTTCTAAGTATGCAGGCAGCTTAGGACAAATGCAGATACAGTGGCAGAAGAACACTACCTCCAGTCACAGCTTTGATTTTATATCCTAATGACCAGCATAAATATTCACCAGTGTAAGTACAGCAAGTGGAGGGCTTGGTCTGTTATTGCTGGCCAGCCTGATTTTGTACAGGCTGTGGTTACACAAAAGAGGCTGCTCTCACGCTGTCAAAGGTGAGAAGTTTGTGAACTTTGCTTTGGCAGCATAAATCATATTGCCACAAAGCCCCCTGAGATCTAGTGAAAGGCCTCCGAAAGTTATCGATATTATTACATCCCCTTTATTACATTCTCACAATCTGTGTCTATTCTCTGAGTTAGGAGTAATCTTCAGCTGCATGTTACTCCAGCATGCAGAGCTTTTAGCCTATGGCTGGGCTTTTACCTGCTGCTAAGAAGTCTACAAGCATACTGACACTGGGTATCTCTTTCGGTGACCATCCCATCAATATCACTGGAGTCCTGCTTTCCACGGGGAAGGGGGTAGAGCTGTCAGTAGATGCAGAGCTAACAACAGATTTCTCTTCAGCAGCTGGAGCTGTTTTTACAGAGTAAGAGCATGCTGTTTTGAGATACTGACTTAAGGCATTTGTCTTAGTCTGCTTACTTGGTCCCTTTGTGAAGATGAGACTTTGCTGTCTCATAAAACCTCTGTTTTGTTGGGTCAAGACTAGATGAATACCCACCTAGCTAGTATTAGTAGTAATAGTAGTAGTAGCTGTAGTATAAATAAGAAATTATCTCCAGAGGAAAACAGTTGTTGCAATGAGATGATCTTTGAAAAGTCAGCAATGTTTTAGAAACCTTTAAGACTACAGATAACCCTGCATACAATGAAGGTCATCCCAAACAAACAGAGAACAAAATTGTGCTTTTTCCCCTCACCTCACAGCCACCAAGCAAGGTTCTTTCTAGCATCTTGGGAAAGAGCAATCTTCAGTTTGCAGGAATGAGCATAATGCTGAATATCTCCACCACCAGCTTAAACCTAATGACTCCGGATACAAAACAGGTGAGTGTAACTGCCATATTAATTTGTGAGGCTTTTGATGGTCACCCTACCCCACAATTATTTGCTGTCTTCCAAAATAGTTGCTCAAAGTTATTATTCCACAATAATGTCTATAAAATGAATGAAAACAGAATATAAAGCATTAAAGTGTTCATAGTTTATTCAACACAGCTTTGACAAACTATTTTCTTCTTGCCGTGTTCCAGGTAGCTCCTTTTTGCTCTTAAAAGACCTATAACATGAAATGGCATTTTCTGGTCGTGGGAGTTCTCACTGGGTACAATTACAAACTTTCAGTGTTAAAAGGGATGCGTTTGGAGTAAGTGACTAAAGGACTGAATGCGCATCCCTAATTTTGTTGTCATTCTTCTAATTTAGAGCCTTAAAGGACTATTCCTATCTATTCCTGAGGGCTGCTAAAAATACAGCCTCAAGGATTTTTCAGTGCAGTGAAATGCCGGTCTTTTAGAGAGACAAGGCAGCCTTTTTCTAGCAGCCCATCTCTTCTTCTTCATTGTGCTGAAGGTACAGACAGACTTTGGGGAATCACTGCAGTGGATTGTGAATGATGTATGAGATGAGAAAAATCCTTGCTCAGGGTATATATGAAGAGAAAGCAGACAGACATGCGTAGTCACTGCTGTGCTATTTGCTGTGAGCCACATACTGCGTTAGGGCACGCAACTTTCTGCCCAGATACAGCAAGAGAGGAAAAAAAAATATTTCCTGCTGTCCTTAGGAGCCTCAGGATTGAAGAATAAGAAAGAATACATACATTGTCTGTTAAAAAGCTTGCTGTTTATTATTGTGCTTTCATTGATTTATCTTCATTCTTATCCTTATTTAGAAAACATCATAATCTTCTGCAGTGAGCACTGAGACTGTGGGAGCAGCATTATGGCTGGTTGCAGTAGTTTGGAGCCTTATTATGGAACACACACAGCTGTGCTTTTTGTAAGGACAGTTGACCCCAGTCAGAAGCATAGGAACTTAATGTTAATTACATCTACTAAAGAAGTGCCAGACCCTGAAAGTTGCCTTGTCTTCAGCTGACGTCAGGGTAGAAATGGAGTTAAACCGATTTATCCCAGAGCAGAATCCTCCCCCAAATATTTTGCCTTTTCTCTGAGTTGACACAACCATTTATTTTTCTCTCCCATCATTCTTGAGGTATACTTGGTCTGGGTGCTTCAGGCCTGGGAAACCTCTGGATTCTCAGAGATCCACAGTCTGGCTCTGGTTTCCCTTGTTTCTTGTTTGTGTCAAGCACTTGATTTGAAAATAAGCATGGCCCAGCAGCTTTGCCCTTTGTGGCCTCACCCAGGAAGACGGCTGTGAACTTCTGTAATAGCCTCTTTTTCCCAGAGGGGCTGGAAAGAAAGAAAAGACAAGACGGTGTTGTTGGCCCCTAGGGTAGCTGGAAAGCAATTGCATGTATCCCTGCACAGCAAGTTTTGTGAATATGTTAAGCAGGGATGAGTGGAAGTTGATTTTGCATCAGTTTAAAATGCACATTCGCATAGACTGAAATGTTTCTAAACTATTTACCGGCATTAGTGAATCGTTTCATTTTAAGCAGCGCAAGGTGGTGGTAATTCGCTGCCTTGTTTCAATATTTTGGTGTTGGGGAGGGAAAAATACCCCTGCCTTATACTAAAATAAACTGTTCAGCTGTGGAATTTAAAAAAAAAAAAAGTGTCTGACTTGGACTGATGGTTGCAAGCACTTTTCAGTTTTCTTAAAGCTTGGAAAAAAAAAGTTTTGAGGCAATCTGGAAAAAAATTTTGTTTTTTATAATGCTAAACTAAAAGATCAAGTTATTTGCACAATTCAAGATAGTGACAATATTAAATGTGTAACAAATCTTCACTAGTTCATCTCTGTTGCCAGAATCACTTATTTATGGGAAAAATGTTTTGGTTTCAGCTGTGACAGAGTTAGTTTTTCTTTGAAGCTGCTAGTGTTTTGGATTTAGTATGGGATTTGTTATGAGAAGAATGTCGATAGCACACTGATGTTTCCGGTTGGTACTGAGACCTCATGGACTTTGCAGCTTCCCGTGTTTTGCCAGTGTGCAGGAGCACAACAGGCTGGAGGGGGACATGGCCAGGACAAAGGGCCCACAACTCCTGACTTATGGTTTGAACTTGAGATTTAAGATTGAGGGCCAAATTGGCCAATGAATTATTCTATATCATGCAATGTCATGCCCAGTATATAGATGAGGGTGGGCCAGGAAGTTTGGAATCTCTCTTTTGGGGGATTCTCTCTGGGTTAAACCATGACAGAAAAGAGAAGGAAATCCTCACTGATGAGAAAAGGAACAATCGTTCACCGCTGAACACTTAAAAATTAACCACCTTTTCAGAGGCTGCTGTGGGACAAGCAGAAGTATTGGAAATGAAACACTCTTTACATGAAAGAAGCACTACAAATAGTTATCAACTCTCTCTGACTTGATGAAGCAGCAAGATCCAGAGAAACTCATGTCAGCCTTTTTTCTTTCCAAGGAAGGTAGTTGCTAGTTCAGGTTTTTAAGATACAAGATGGGAAAACAACTCAGAGAATGTCTTTTTATCCTCATTTTTTTCCAAAACGGTTTTCTAAGTATATGGCACCCTCTCCAAAGTGAGCAATTAAGATCCGAATTACTATTATCACATGTTCTGAGGCGCTAAATAAGGGGCCTGCCCTATACCAGATGAATTCCTTGGCATGGTTTCTGTGACTCAAATGATAAGTGAAATTTTCTTTCAAATGACCTTTTCTTTCTTGGTTGTTACATGATTTCATTATTAGAAGATTTTATAAGTTAAATCACAGAATAGCAATGGAGCAGAGCTGTTCTCCTTGTATTAGAGGTTCATGACAATTTGTCTTTTCCCAGAGAAATATTGTATTAGTTCAAATTGTGCATAAGCAGATGGAATTTCAAATGCCCTGGAGTATGCCTGAGATTTTGTCCACAGTCCTTCATTGCAGCTAGATTCAAAATTCTGTTTGTATATTGCAAACGTGTTGGTGTTTGAAACATGAAATGACACAGTAGGTATTGGAAGCAATGTCAGGATCCTTAGCTGGTGTGCAGATTGGCGTAATTTCATTGATTTCACCACAGTGGCATCAGCAGAAAAGTATTTTGATGAATAGGACCCTTTGCTCCATTCATCACTATCTGTAATAAAGAAAGTGATCGTTAGCAGATTAAAATTTCTCCAAAGATACTGTATGACAGATCTATATGATTTATTGAAGTTCTGACCATATTTAGCAATTTTGCCATGTCCTGCTAGACTTTAAAGAACACCAAATACATTCATCCATAAGTTTGTTTATATTATCCTACTACTCTTTGCACTCCTTGTAGGTGAAATGCAGAAGTCATTTTGACCTTTCACTCCCATACAAACGAAAAAAGAAATCAAAAGGCTAAACTGTAAGAAAACCTACTGACTCACACTTATGTTTTCTGATCCATACAGATCATAGCAAATCACCATATGCAATCTATTTCCTTTGCGTCTGGAGGTGATCCGGTAAGCGTCTCTTTAAAGCTTTCCCCATACATAGATGTTGCTTTATGAGGATTGTGTGACAAAATTTATCACATAGCTTACTGAAAGAAAAATATAACCACAATGGCTCCTGTTTCTTGTTTCATAAATTCTTCTTGATTGTTGCCATCAAACTCTTTTTGAGGGAAACGACTGACAAGCAGTCATAAATCCTCCTCTTTGAAAGACTGAAAGGAAAAATATCAAAGGGCTGAGAGCATTCATATAATAACTGAGAAGCAGGGCTCTGTTTTTCAGAGTAATGTAGTATAGTCATATGGGTATTGTGTGAATTTTTGTCCTGACCGTTTTTTATTTTGTACTTTTTACAGTAATAGACTATGTTGCAGTTATATTTATAGCAATGTACGCATTTTTTTTTTTTCTTCTTGTCTTTAAGTGTACATTGAGAAGACTGTGCTAAATACTGTCTTCATGTATATTCACTACGCTCCTTTGGCTTGAAGACAGGCTTTCAGCAAAAGCCCAGATCTTTCTTTCTAGTTTTGCAAAGCCTTCACATACACCTACATGTTTTGTTCATTTAGATTAAAGGGCAGACTCCTGCTTGTTCTGCTTTTCCCTGTTTTTATAAGCAGCCATCCAAAGGCATGTTAAGTGTGCTTAAAAAGTATTTGTCACCCAGGAAGCAATGGGAGAGTTAATGGACATTGCTCACCCCTTACCTTAGAGGTTTGAAAGCTTTTAAGCCTAGATTGGTTGAATGAGTCTGCCTCTTCCTCCATCACACGATTATCTGTCATTTATCAGTCATGTACTACAAGTAAGGCATGCTAGCCTGCTTTGTGAGTTTTTTCTCTCAGTTCAACTCTGTTAAGCTGAAGATCCTTGGCAGTTTCTCTGTTCATTTCACTATCCTCAGAAAACATAAGGGCAAACTTCAGACTTAGAACAGCTCTGCTGAGCTCAGTTCAGTTCCAGAAAAGAAAAGGATATCATATCATAATAATTTGGGGAACAAAAAATGGATCAACAGCAGCTTTGAAATACAACAGATTGCAATGGATGCTGTAAATGAACAATTCCTGAAGTGGGCAGAAGAGTGATTAGCATGGTTCTCTGCCTCCGTAAGAAGATTCTTCACTCCCCATCTGCCATCCCAAATGCTAAGTCCTGGAAACACCATTGCATGCTGCCCACTGATAGAGTGTTTTACCAGGAAAGAGGAGAGAAGCAGCAGTAGAGATTGGATTTGGAGTAAACAAGCTCTTCCAAATGTTTTAGAGAGAGAAAAGTCATGCTACTGAGTCAGTGAGCTACCAGAGAAATCAAATTGCATGGTATAAGGGAGCCTACAGGAGATAGTGAAATTGTGAAGATGTGTTCCCAGTAAGACCACTGCATGGTGATCTCATTCTGGGGGTGGAGAGGGTAGATATGAGTATTTCATGACGCTCTACAGCTTGTCTCGGTGGGCTAGTATCTGGCACAACTTTAAATCAAAATCTTGTTCACAAAGCAGGTGGCTCCTTTGTCCCGTGTGCACACAGAATAAGACAAGATGCAAGGATGTGATTTAAGTCACAGCTTTATTAACTCATCTGAGGGTTATCCAGACATAACTTTTATCAGCCCTTAATGATTTCCACTTGGTGGAGGACTGCCACCACCAAACTGTATCCCCCAAACACTATCGGGCACCAGACCATAAGCTCATCTCCTTATATGAGATTTTAAATGGATGGAGAAAGGCCATACTGAACTAGGAACTCAAATCTGTGCCCATGTTTCTTCAGGAAATGCTTCCCTTATTTTGAATTTTGAAGTTTGGTTTATTTATAAGTAAGGCTGCCCCCACTTCTTACCCTATCCACTTTTCTGCTCTGGCTATCTGCCACACATTCACGCCAGCAATTAGCTTTGCAACTTTCCTCCCACTCCCTAAGCATTAATTACCTTCATCATTCAAAATATATCCACTGGAGAAGTGTTCCACAGTCTTGGAGAACAGCTTGAGTACCATATATATTTTTGCAATATTCCCCTTTGCAATGAGTCAGACGGTTTCTGGCTGTGTCAGTACATGGGAGCTTAAAAATCTCTCCACCAAATCCTTTTACACACCACTTCAGAATCATTTTTAGTTCACTTCCAAGACTGTGTTCTGGGTCTACTTTATCTCTCTTCAGCCCTTCCTTATGAAACGCTAAATATTTTTAATCCATAGTCATTTCAGGTGGCTGTTTCCAGGCTGCTAGACAAGACATCTGTTTTTGGATATGCCTGCTGAAATTTCAGAGAAGCTGATCTCATAAGGTCTAATAAGGCAGGTCTCTCAGAGGTCCCTGAAGGCAGTAGTTTTTCAGTTTCAGTCCTGCCTCAAAATTTTAACACCGCAATGCAATTTCTTTGAGGTGAAAATTATAGCTCATTCATACTTGTCTTCAGTCCTTGAATGTCAGGGACCACTTTGCTGCATCAGCCCAGCTCTGTACAGCCTTTTGATGGGAGTCTTCTAATTTAGCCACTGTGAAATGTGCCTACCTTAGGTCCTTAATGGTTTGTCATAGTCAGCTTGAATCTGAGAGCTTTAGATGAAATAAAGAGTAGGTGGTTCCAGTCTCTCACACCCCTGCTAGCTATGAGATAGATCTATAATTTACTCAGGCATAAATGTATCTATTAGCTATGCTTGTACTAGTAAACAAAGTGATCTGCGGCCCGTTTTCTAGCCCTGAAACTAAAGAGCACAGTGCGATTTGCATCTACACATTCACTCTCTTCCCTCCCACTGCTCTCTTGGGATCCATGCCTGGCATGTGCTGGTCACTCAGAGAGCTTCAGAGTACGGTGTGGGAAAAGACCCCAGCCAGGCAAGGGAGAGAAGTAGCAGCAATTAAACAGTATGGACGACTGCGGCACGACTCTCAGGCCTTTCCTTTGCTGTTTTGTTTGCTACTATAGACGTAGCCACTTTTCTCCGCTGCTTACTTTTTGGTATGCATCATTACTTCCACTCAAGTCATTGCCCAGACACTATGTCACTGAGTGCTTAAGATATTACTGGACAAAATGCTCGTGTTATTCTTCTTCGCTCTGCTTTTTTTAGAGACCAGCCTCATTACTGCTGTGTCTGAATGCCTTCCAATCGTGCATTAAGTGATATGGCTGCACATCTGTCACTAGAACCATGAATGTGCTTCAACTTTTCCCTTGCCTTCTCCTTTGGAGGGAAGCTGTATATATATATGCAGCACCGTCATTTGTTTTGGATGGGTGGTGGTGGTGTGTGCTTGCACTAGAGAACGCTAAGCTCAAGAAGTCTATCTTTTAACTGAAGATTGATGTTTGTTATAGCATTAGATCTTGACATAATTGTCAATGGTCTTGGATGAGTCCCCTGAAAATTCTTTGGATAGATTTACGCAGCTAGCTGTAATGTATCCTACGTATACCTCAGTTTGGTTTATCAATACCTGACTAGCCAGGCATGTCTGGACATATGGGATCTAACCAGGGCTTCCTGATTACATCGAGGATATATGGCGTTTTCCAGATGTGCCAGTAGGCCTCACATTTCCCAGAAGCACTGGCCTTTCTGTTTCAATGATAAAAGTCTGCGCTGCTTGTGCACAGGAGTGTGAAGGTGGTGGAAGAGCAACAAAAAAATCCCCAAAGAAGATGCCAGCTTACTCTTGCTGGAAAATCCACCTGGCATGTGGCAATGGGGATGGTTGGGAGCAGCCCACAGGCTGAAAGAGAACGACCTGGGAGACTGCTCATCACGGCCAAGCAGTGCCTGATCACCTCTGTGCCATGTGGCATTGTAGTCAGTAAAGTAAACACAGCTGCTTGTCACAGGGGAATAAATGCCACTGCTCAGTATTTCTGGGGGACAGGGCTGTTACTCCCACTCTTTCTGCTGTAGAACCAGTTGATTATTCATGTTCTGAACCAAAAGCGTCGGGTATTTTGAAAATGAGGACTTGTAGTTCTAATCCCTTCTAAATGAGGCCTGATCCAAATCCCACTAATTTTGTTTAATTTATTTTCAAAGGCCTTGGAAGAGATTTTTAAGTTCTGCTGGAATAGATGACACTCTGGAGAAAGCGAAGTGGCAGGATCAGTACCAAAACCCATAAATGTTTTTATGGGGTTTAAGTAGTATATAACTATAGAGCAAAATATGTAATTTGAAGCTCTGCCCACAGGAATACGCACACTCTGGACTATGATCTTTTGCTATAATCAGTGCAAAGATTTTTTGCATTCATTGTAGATATCTTAATTTTTTGACAGGATACAACCGACTATGTTGCATATGTAGCTAAGGATCCTGTTAATCGGAGAGGTAAGTTAAAAATATCCACTTGGCATCTTTTTTCCCTTGAGAAACATGGACTATTCATGGTATAAGTCAGTCAATATTTTTTTCCCCCAGAAAAAAATGAATGCAGCCCAATAAAAGCATTGCCTTTGACAGAGTCACACAAAGAATGAGTAGCAATAAGGAACAGCCATGTGCAAGTTGTTTCTCAAACCTGGAACAGGTCCTATCTGTAGTGCATCCCTACATATCGCTTTGATTATCTTCATCTCTTAAATCAAACACTTGCCTTACTGGGCTGCGTGAGCTTCCAGGCAACAGAAGCTTACCTTCACTTAATCGTTACGCAAGAGCTAAGCAGTCCTCTGATTAAGTCCTCCGATGAGGTGGCCAAATCCGTTAGATCTTCTCAGTACATGCCTAATTCTTCCTGGCAGAATCAGGTTCTTTACCAAATAGTGAGCTTTTGAGCTAGCTTGCTGGAGGCTGTAGTCCTCTTTCTCAGTAAAATTTTATTCAAGGTTGTATTGCTTTATGAGCGATCAGTCAGGAACAGGGAACCTCTTGTTGATTGTCTTCAGAGACTAAGATCCAGTTCAGATTCTGGAAAATAAAAGTAAATTAGAAAAAATGTAAATTACAGTCTGAAATAATAGGTACAGAAAACATTACTGCTTGTAATGCAGAAAGCATCACTAGGTCTTAATGCTAGATACAAAGTATTGTATAATGTACCTGAGAATCTATTTATTATTCATAGATTCATAGAGAAAAAAAAGACTAGCTCCAAAAAAAGAATCAAGCGCTTCCAACAAAGTGTTGCAGAATTCAGACACTTTAACTCCAAAATGCCAACCCTCCAAACCCTAAGCTGCCACCTTACCATGGGCACAACTAATTCAATAGCTTCCATATTTGGTCACCTTTAGCGATTTTAGATACCTCAACAGTCTGTTGTGTCCATGTGCAGAGATGTCCAGACTTGAGAGCGTTAGCTCACAAATAATACCTGCACTAAACATACTATTATGCTGAATATCAGTGAAACACCTAGGAAAATTACAAGGAGTGGGAGGTAGAGAGATAGTCCAGTTCTTTGCTGTGCTTGTTGTGTTCCAACATCGTGTGCCCCCCATTAGAAAGGCTCCAGCATCAGACTGTAGGCTGTATGGTGCAGAGCTGCTCTCCACCCCACCTGCTTTAGCACTAGGCTTCTGCTAAACCGGAGGCTCATTTAGTTGCACGGAGACACCTCAGTGGCAATGTAGTGGACCAGCACTGCAGAGCAAATGTTGCACTGTAGAGTTTGGAGAAGCCCTGTGCTCTGTTTTCTGTCTCTGTGTGGGCAGATTTTACATAAAAACTGTTTCATGGACTATGTTCCTTGTATCTAAGTTGAACGTGTTTAGCTTTAGCTTGCTGCCACTGTTCCTTGTTGAGCAAGTCTATCTTAGATCCAAAGAATAATCTAAGCACCTGGTATTGTCTTCCTGTGGTGTATTTAGTTAAAGTCATTTCTCAGTTTTCTCTAGGAAAAGTTTAACAGACCAAACTCTGTAGGTTTCCAGCTGCAGTGCACGTCCTCCATCTTTGAGATTATTTCTGTTCCTCCTTCCTTCATTTTTCTACATTGTTTTAAAAAGGCTGATGATGCCTGCTGTTGTTTGGGGTAACCTAGTATTAGTGTCAATAAACTGTAACAGAGGCTGCACCTTCCTGTTCTTACGTGCTTTTGTCCTTCTCATTAGTTGTTTTCTCATAAGCCCTTTAAGCAGCAGTGCAGCACTGTTATCTCACGTGAAATTCTTTCACGCTCTGATCTTTAAGCCTTCTGTGTTACAGCTTTCTGCGGGAGCTTTCCTCAGTTGTGTGTGTACATCACTGGTTTGCAGATCAGTGACTTTGTATGTGATCAGTATTAAAACACATTTTTTTCTAAAGGTCTAGTTTACTAAGGGATCTGGATTGCCCTCTTTCACCAACACTGGCTCTATTGTCAGTCTTTGTGTTATCTGCAAATTACTTTACAAGTGAGTTTGAATTTATTTCTGTGTCTAGTGAAAATATTACTGCTGTACTGACACTGGTACCAATGTTGTGGTACAGCTTTCACTTGCATATTAAACTCATTTCTTCCCAAGGATGGAAAAGCTCTCTTTGTGCTGTATGTTCTGGATCTAGCAAACTAAAGGCTGTCTATCTTCCACTGTAACATTCACAAGAAATCATCTCTGTGTGAGCCAAGCCTTCTCATCCTTTTACAAGAAGCATATCTCCTACCTGCTGAAAGCCCATTCATGTATCCAAGGAAACAGGTTACTCATTATGTCACCTACCGAAACTACTTAATGACTCATGCTTGTTTCAGCTCCAGACAGGTTTAACAGTGAGCAACATAGCCTCTTTAAATCCCCACTCAAGTTACAGAGTGCAAAAATTGTAGCTTTGTTTGGCTTAACTACTCTCCCACCACCGCGTTCAGCGTTCATGGAGATAACTCTGCATCTTACCTGGGGGCTGACTGTTCACTGCTGCCAGCAGTGGTGCAGAGGGGTTAGAGAGCAAATATTCTGCTGCTAGTGAGGGATGTCTGTCTCTGTCTTTGCACACAAGGAGGTCTTGTTTTGGGGTGCTGAATCCACTTCCAATGTGCAGCTAAGGACACATTTCCCCTGAATCAGGCATTGCCTCAGCACGCGGGCCGGCACAGCAGATGCTCTGAGGTGAGAAGAGAGCATCACTGGATCTGTTTAGCAGGGCAGCACTGTGACTGGTGCCCTCTCATGCTGCCTGAGGGAGAAGCAGCTTGGTGCCCTGGTAGCTCCATACCTGCAAAACTACAAGTTTCTTGGCCCTGTATTCCAGCCTCTTCAGAACTCTGTCCAACAGATCAGCTTCTGAGAAGTCATTGAGCCTCCTTAGTCTCCCTATATTGCTTTAAGTAAAATTATGTCACGCAAATGTCATGACCCACCCTTATTTGTAGGACGTTGGCATCCAAAGCGCTTGATTCCATTGAGCTGGACACTGGGAATGTACTAAAATGCAGTTTTTCAGCTGAAGACTTTGTATTCAGGTTATTAAAGCAGACAAAGGTGACAGAAATTAGTAACTTTGAACAATGTTCCACTGTACTGTGGCAGGGCTTGGAAAAGAGCCAGAGTTTCAAATCCAATCCAGGCTCTAGCCAGTAGACCATGTGCTTGTTCAGCATGGAATATGGAAAATGAACTTGCTTGGGCTTTTCTGAATATCACTGAGGTGTTGTTCATTCAGATCTTTAGCTTCCAGCTCCTAACACCCATCTATGTTCCTGCAGTGTCAGGTGAAATTTTCACAAGTTTGTCTATGTTGTCACATCAGACGATACCTCCAAAGCACTCTGTGATTTAAAACTGGAACAGATTGGGCTGCTCAAACTGCTCATAAAGGTTTCTTGGGCTTCCATAGGTATAGAGCTTGTGTTGCCAGCCTCCTTGCATCCGTCACAGTGGGTTCAGAGAAGTGGCACATGAGGGAGTGCTGGCGTTAACTGGGGTCCTGGCTCTCTGCTTCCCAGTGACTCCGCAGTTTGCTAAAAGATTCTCCATACAGACAAGCAGGAGAATGTACTAGCCTGTGTATTACTGGAATCAGATCAGGGCCCAGGCTCTAGGAAGTATTTAGGAAGTATCCTAGTTACTGCTCCTCCCTTAGCCTGTAATTTGGGAAATTCTGTAAACTCAAAGAAAGTGAACAGCTTGCAAATTTGGAGTGATTAGACATAAAATTGAAGTGCGGATAAAATTGAGGAAAGCACAGAAAGCTTTTTTTGTTGTTAACATCTACTAATATTTTTGTAATTTTAACTTAAAGCTCAGAATCCTCATATAGCCTATTGCATTCAGGTAATAACAAGTGAAGTTTTATGAGATTTCCTATCTTTATGGACTTGTTAAGATTGTGGAACTGATTTGTGGTCTTGCCTATTGCAGTTACACACCAGAGCAGTTTTATTTAACCTTTAAAAAGACCACATTGCCTGAAATTCACTGTGCCGGATTTGGGTTTTATTGAAATGTGCACACTATGAATATGGCAACTATGCCTGACCTTTAGGTGTTTTGTCATAGGTCAGTGCATCCCACTACAACATAAACAATGATTTGCATGTGCATGTGTCAAATTTTTTTCATTTAGCTTGTCATATACTGGAATGCTGTGATGGCCTGGCCCAGGATGTCATCAGCACCATAGGGCAAGCGTTTGAGCTTCGATTTAAGCAATACTTGCGATGCCCCTCTAAGATACCTACTTTCCATGATAGGTGAGTATGATTGCGGAAGACTGGAAAAGGATCTTCTTTAGCCTTGTATTTACTTAATAAAATGTGCTGTGGACAAAGTTGCTGGAGACAGGCAGGATTCAAGCACTTTAAACTGCTGAATTAGCAAAGCAGAGTTTGCCTAATGAATATGAAAGGAGTACAATGATTTAAAAAGAATGGGCTAAATATGGATTTCACAGTGAACTTATTGAAATGATCATGTGTTTTCTGTCATACTTACTAGGCAGAGTTGGGTGGCCAAGAATGGATTCTGTTTGTGGCATTTCCTCATTGTTGTTACTGTCATTGCAGCTCTGTCGTTTTAGATCAAGTAAGCTAGAGTTGCTGGGCTTCCAAAATGACTAGTGATGTTTCACTGTTTCTGATATTAGCCAGGGCGAAGTTTTTAGGAATGTCATGTATTGTACAGAGGCTTTGACTGTCTTGTTCTCTGGAGGATACAAAAATCTGTCTGCTTGTGTATATTTAAAAGGCTGGGATATAGCATTCTGTTTTTCTTTGGTGAGATGTGTTTTTGACATGGATTGCTATATGCTTACTGACATTATTATAAATCCCAGTGAGCTGGTACCCTTTGTATTCTCTTGTATCAGAGTAAAATGAGTGTATGGTGAATATAAAATGACACTATCCTAATCTGGAAGCATTCTGTAGACTTGTGTAAACGACTGTTAAATGTAGACCGAAGCCACAGGCCTAATCTCTCCACTTTGCGAAGTTCTTCCAGATTTATACTGGTGATAGAGCAGCCATAATTAAATACAAAGTTTTAGGGCTTAGCTGATAAATCAAGTAATAATATTACAAATGCCACTATAGGGTTAAATAAAATTCTTTGTTAAAGCAGTTCATAGTGGTCTTTAAAGCTAAATAGAAACATCCTTTACTCAGCATAAAGAATTTCATCCATTGCACAGGAGATTTAGATCAAATTTGTCTAAATAGAAAGGATTTGCTGCATGATCCATTATTGCTTCCTGACTTGCAATGGTAACTGAATTGTCAAAATAATATGCAATAGTGATCCCCTGGCAGGCAGTCTTAACGTGCTGCAAGTATCTGTAAGTGCTTTGCAAGCGAGGGGCAGAATAAAGCACTCACTTTCTTACAGGATGCAGAGTTTTGATGAGCCATGGATGGAGGAAGAGAACGAGGCAACAGAACATCCCTATTACAACAACATCCCAAATAAAATGCCCCCTCCCGGCGGCTTCATTGATGCCAGGCTCAAAGCAAGACCTACCACTGCTCCAGATACAGCTCAGGTCAGTGCAAACACATCTCTGCCCTCCTGCTGATGGATCCGAAATTTTTAGAAAAATGCGTATTTTAAGATGGGTACATTGGGACTATTTATAACTCTCAGCCCTTCATTTGTGGCAAGTTTCCTTTTGAATGGGTATTGAAGATCTAAGGGGCAACAAATTAGGCAGGTTCAGAACAAACAGAAGAAGGTTGGCTTCTCGTGGTGTTGAAAGATTACACGGGTTTGAGGAAGAGAAATCCACTGAGGGTTACTACTTTGTAGAAACCTTGTCTGCTTCAGGGACTATCAAACAGTGCACGCTAACTGGGAAAGATTTGCTGCAGAACCATTTAATCAATCTAGTGTAGTCATTACTAACAGTTCATTACCTTAATAACTCAGCAGCAATCAGTATTCAGCCAGGTTCCTAGGTAGGTTTTCCAGCTCATGTTCAGCTGAGGTCAGCTTGGACATTTCTACCAGCATTGCTATCAAAAGTTTGCACTTGTCAACGTAGCCACCTAAGAGGAGTTTTCAGACCCAGCACCACTCTGCTTAAATCCAGAGGGGCCTTGTCTGTAGACAACATCCTCCCTTCAGTTCCCGAGAGCATCCCCTGGTACCAGTGTCTTTCAGCTCAGGCTTTGGAGGGTGCTGGGGGTGTCAGAACGGTTTTCCCAGTCACGGTTTGTCAGGGCTCGCTATGTGAAGACAAATGTACTAGAGGAGATGATGCATCATGTGGGATTGCGGTGGTTAATGAAAGCAGGAAGCAGGGAAGTTTACATGAAGGTCACCGGTAATATCTTACTCCTACACAAATGCATTTGTGAGATATATATTCTGACACCACGATGAATCGGAAATGAAGAGTGGGTGTACGCAGAATACAGCCAAGGAAATTGTCAGAGCCACTCATAATGTATCTGAGCATTTTAAAGGTAATTGAAAATTTCTTTGCACATGTGTCCATTCTAGTCTGCAGCAGGAGTGGGAGGAGAGCAAACCTATTACCAGAGTCACCACTTAGGAGATAAATTCAATGAAGACTGGCATCACGGGCCTGTTAAGCAAGGTGAGTTTTGCTAGTTTTAGCAGTAATACTGCAGGAGGTCTTGGGTGGGCAAAGCATGTGAAAGTCTGATGCCTCGAAGTCTCAAGGCAATGAAGTGCACTTTGTTGATAGATTTCCTGGATCGATCTGAATTTTCAGACAGATTTTTTTCAGATCTGAAAAAAAAAGTTTTCAGATCTGAAATCTGAATTTTAGCATTGAAATCAGTGAAAAGCATTTGGTAATTACCTCTGGGTGAATTATTAAATGCACACCTTCTTAAAATCTTAGCTTTTGCTAAGTAGTTCATAAATAGAGTTTCCCCAAACCTTCAGCTATCTAGCTTGCCATGTCTTAAAACTTCATGGTATTTACAGACAGGCTGCATGATCTGTTCTGAAAATCTGAAGCAGTAATGTCTGCAAGATGCAGTTTCCAAAGGAAGAGCCAAAGTCAGAAGCTTTTTTAAAATGTGGTGCACTGCATGTTTTTGCACGATCCCTGCTCCATGAATAACAAATAATGCAAACTCTTCTTTTTGTTGCTGTCTATGAATTTTAAGCAAATCACATCAAAACATATGTGTGAAATTTCACCCCTTCCACCTTTATGTGACAGCCTTACTGTGTTTCTGGGGACACTTTCTTTTCAAATGCCAGAATATGTTGTCTGGTTTTAATCTGCACAGATTTGAGGATTTATTCCATTTCCTCCTCTCACGACTCCCCAACTGAACATCAGTTTTGAAATTCACAGTCTTTATTTACAAAATTTTTCTTTCCTCCTGAATAATAACAGTCCCCCTTGCCCCAAACCCTCATTGAAACACAGTTCTGAATCCATTCCTCAACATTTTTTTCTACTAGGTCCTGCAGCTATTGACTTTACATCTCCCATTCCAGGGAATTTTAAACCTGTGGTGATGGGTTGTGATGTTATTTGGTCATTATAACAACACTGTTCTGTCAAATACAAAAAAAAGAAGAAAAAAGTCTTGTATTTTCTAGGATCTCTGGATATTTGCAGTGTGCCAGAAGGGAAATCACAAGTAACCCCAACAGCAGAGATGCCAACATACGTAAACACCCAGCATATAAATATAGAAACTCTATTGGCACTTCAGGCAGATGCTGAAAGTACCTTCAGTGGAACAGCAGATGATACCAAAGAGAGCAGCCCAGGAAAGGATCTGTTTGACATGAGTGAGTTTCCTTCCTATTCACTGCCTTTCTAACGATCAACCCAATATGTTTTTGCATTAGTTCTGTATAAAACCAATTTTTAAATTCTCCAAATTTTAGTATTCCTGGTGGAGTTACTGTGTATTTTAGAATTCATGGTGGACTCTTATCTGACTGAGCTAAAATAAGGGTGGCCGAAGATTTGAAGCTAGTTTGTATTATATTTCCATTAAGCTGAGTTGCAGTCTGTGGTGTCCTTAGCATCACAGGCAGCCATGTCAGCAGGAGAATAAATGAGGAGGCTTGTCATGCAGAAAACTGAAGGAGTGAATGGCTGGAAAATTAGCTCCAGCCTGTCCTGTGAATATGTTACTAGGAAGTGAATGCATACTAGAAAAACTTTGTTCAACAAGAGAGCTGGGAGGGAAATTAAACGGCTGTGTTATCCCTTGTATTGGATAGGCATACTGTCGTATCTCGCTATCTCTTCCAACTTTGAAGTCAGCTTTTCCAAGATCAGAATCATAGCCATAGCCTTAAAACAATAGTTTAAGCATCGGTCATAGTTTGATGTTGATGCTACCGATACACATGGTTTTCAGCCTTGAAGAGATACTTAACAGGAAATACGGGGAAAGCCGTTTGATGCACAGAAAATTTTCATGGTTTTTCTGTTCTTCCTACCTCCAATCAATTGTTGACACATGATTTATCTAACTCAGTTCACATAATTAAAAGACAGTGAGACAAAGCAGTTGGTGCCTATATGTTATTTGTAAAATAACATATCTACATTTCTGTTATCTCAGTATACATAAAACTGTCTTCCTGGCATGTTTTTGCTGAGGTATGGCTCTATTTCCACAGCTTAGTGAGATGTTGGATTGAAAGAAAGGGGGAGGGAAGAAAGTTAAGGGAGTATCTATTTGTGAATATAGATCTGAAACGAGAAAATTCTGCTGTCTGAAATCAGGGATGTTAACCTCAATTTCTGAGAAGCCATGCTCTTAAAACATGCGCGTGCTTACCTCTATTTTATACACATTCTTTTCCTAAAAATAGGGAAAGCTGATTTCTTATCTTTCAGCCTTCGTTAATCGTCATTAACCATTGGATCATTGGGGAAAAGTAGTACTAGAAAACGTGTCAACTAGCCCTAAGTTAGCGGTTTGTCAAGCTAAAACGTGTTGGGCTTTGTGCAGACTGCAGTGTAGTGAAGACATATATAAGCTGGTTTTAAGAATTAGCTGAGGAATCAACAAGCTGTGACATTGCAGTATTGATCCTATTTCCCTGAGCTAAAATAACCTCTCTGTGGCCCTGTGCAGACATGGCTACGTACTCCTCACATCCGAGCAGTGTATTTAGAGCTGGTGTATTTTTTCACAGTACAGCTCTGCAGATGTCCTTTAGTAAGTGTAGTGGCCGCAGAGCAATATCTCTTTTTCGTATGCACTACTTGGACAGATGAAGGTCTTGCGAGGGAAAATAGCTTCCGATAGGTCAGTATAGCATATGATGAAGCACAAACTGACCTATTTACTATTTCTATAAGACTGTTGGGATCTGTATGGACACATCTTTTCATTCCACTCTACAGAAAGTAACACTGAGCTCAGGATTTAGCTGAGTTTTAAAAGATCATAGAATCATAGAATCGTCTGGTTGGAAGAGACCTTCAAGATCATTGAGTCCAACCATTCACCCTGCACTGTCAGGGTCCCTAAACCATGTTACTCAACACCAAATCCACACGGTTTTTAAACACCTCCAGAGATGGGGACTCCACCACCTCCCTGGGCAGCCTGTTCCAATACTTCACAACCCATTCTGTAAAGAAATTCTTTCTGATATCTAACCTAAATTTCCCCCGGTGTAACTTGAGGCCATTCCCTCTCATCCTGTCATTCATAACATGGGAGAAGAGACCGACCCCCATCTCCCTACAACTTCCTTTCAGGTAATTATAGAGAGTGATAAGGTCCCCCCTGAGCCTCCTCTTCTCCAGACTAAATGGTTCCAGCTCCTCATAGGACAACTTCTCTAAACCCTTTTCACTGGTTTGATTGCTCTTCTCTGAACCCTCTCCTGCACCTCAGCGTCCTTCTTGAAGTGAGGGGCCCAAAACTGGACACGGTACTCAAGGTGTGGCCTCACCAATGCTGAGTATAGGGGGGAAAATCACTTCCCTGCCCCTGCTGGCCACACTGTTTCTGATACATGCCAGGATTCTGTTGGCTTTCTTGGCTGCTTGGGCACACTGCTGGCTCATGTTCAATCGGCTGTCGACCAGCACCCCCAGATCCTTCTCTGCTGTGCAGCTTTCCAGCCCAGGGGGTTGTTGTGGCCCAAGTGCAGGAC